CTTGGATCCAGGAGAGAATATGCAAGGTGGGTGGAGGTGGCTTCTCTCCATTCTGCGGGAACACATGTTCCCTGGCACACGGAGCGAACTATGACAGACCAAAATGTGAGCGTGTGTGTAGATCCATATACATAGAGCTGAAAATAAAAGTAATCTATTTCCTCTCAAAGAAAAGATTGTTATTGCTAAAGAAAATAAAATATGTATTATTAGTAATACGAAAATAAGCACTTTTGGGGGGTCCGTGCAGTCTTGGGTATGTGTTAATATGAGGGCATGCTTCAAGCTTTAGGGATAATCTTTGACAAGAGGATTATGAAACTGGACTGAAGGCGGGTATGATGTCAAAGTCCACAGCGAAGTCATAGATAAGACTACCATGGAAGGCGAAATTCGGTGAGGTGTAGACCCTGTCCCCATCAACTCCCAGAAGAGAATAGGGGGATTGCTCTTCTGGTACCTGGAGGTCCTTTTCACTGCCCTTGTTTCCTGCCGGAATGTAAACCCACCGTTCATCACGGAGGTGTGCCAGACTGAGGCAAGGATGAAAAGATGAGTCCGTAGAGCGAAAGTTTCTGGGCTAGGAGAAAGTCTACCTGGGGATAAACAGGGAGCAGAGTTGTATTTTACCTAAGGAAGCCCAGCTTCTTGAAGAAAACCCAGTATTATTTGTTCCTAGCTTGCTATACCAGGACATTCCAGCAGAGGGCAGACGTTACATTAAAATGAGTCTAAACTCACCAACCCCCTTCCCTGTTGTCGCTTTCAGTATTTTATTGTAAAATTTCTGGTTTCTGAACGATTTAAAAATATTTTAAAAGTATTTAAGGTATATAATATGTTAAAAATACAAAGTTTCTTAGATTCCAGTTAATATTTTTGACTATTACCAAAATATTCAAAATGTGTTTCCAAAATCACGAGATTTTGGCCCCCATAATTTACAGCCTTCTTTTAGAGATTTACTGTCATTGTAAGAAAAGCTGTTGTTTTTTTTCCTCTTATTTGTGAAGCTATTACTCTTTTACTTTTTATTTTGAAAATCCATTCTATCTCTTAATTTAACAAGTATGATTTTCGTTGGTTCCAATAAGTTGATACATACAGTTATATTAATAGAAATGACTTCATTTTCAAATTTATTTCATAGCTGGCTTTGATAATTGCCTTAGGGGAAAATGACACATGTAAAAGTTAATTAAACATATTTTACATCATGACTCCAATGTCCAGTACAGCTCTGCAAGAGTTTGGATTTACTTCTCTTCAAAACTCTTTTTTTCTGATATAAAAGGATCATTCTTACAATAATAAGCTTAAAAACTATAGGAGCTACTATCTATATTTTTAAATAAGAGCAAGGCACCTGGGAGTAGTGTCTGCATTCGGGTTTGGGCACCTCGCTGGGCTCCAAAGCACGTGTTCTCTTCATGGCAAAGCTCTGCCTCCTGTAACCTCTGTTTTGTGTGGCTTCTTGAAAAGGACACACACACACACACACACATGACTTCGGATATTAGGACCTCCCAGATCGCCATGTTTGAAGAGTACAAAGACAAAACAGGAGAATCCTGAGTAAATCAGTTGTAGTAATTCAATGTTTGGTACATAAACTCAAAACATTGTTTGTTTGCTTGTTTTTCTTTTGTGAAACAACACATTTCTTGATAATGCTTTTCTGGAGAGGCGTGTGTGTGTGTTTGAGAGAGATTTTCTTTTTTCTTTTTTTTTTTTTTTTTTTTTTTAATTCAGGCAGAAAACCTGCAGGGAAGGCAGTTTCAGGGTTATTGGAGATATATTATTTTCTTTATTATTCAGTTTGTTTCTTTTAATACTTCTATTTCGATGAAAGAACAACAAAAGCTTGCAAATAAAAGTACGCTCTTTAGGAAACTCTTTGTGGGGCTGTGAGGAATTATCATCAGAAGATTCCACTTCAAATGACACAGCCATGGGGCTCTGTGTCCTCCCTGTTACTGTTGCAATTGTCGCTAACAGAGTTACTGTAACTGATTTGGTGCTGTGGAGACAGCAGTGTCCCCTTCTTCGTGTGTGTGCAAAATGGGTGTGGAAGGGTGAGGCGGAAGTTTGGGTCTATCCGTGAGTCAGAAATATTAGCGAAGTGCAAACATCTCTCCAACTTGTTTCTTGGAATATAAGATGTTTTAATTTTTATGGAGAATTTGACATTACAAAGAAAATGACTTTCCAAAGTGGAGTTTCATTTCATGAAGCACCAAGGTTGCAGAGCTTCCAAAGCTTCACGCAAATCATGGTCCATGCTTGACGTTGGGAAAAAGCAGTGAGATGCTGGGTGATGGGGGTGAATTCTTTAACCTCTCTGAATATCGGTGTCTCACCTATAAAATTGAATTGATAATGGGTGTGGCTACTGCAGAAGATGATGATATAGCACAATTTGCATTATATCTGGAAAAGCTCTGAGCTTAGTGTTCTTCTGATACAATGCAAGTTTGATTGTGAAATCCACAGTACCCAAATAATGAAATCAATTGATCACACTCTGCATTGGGTACTAGCATTATCATCAGTAAATATATTTACATGCCGTATAAATCCTCCGCCCCAAACTGATGTATGCTGGCTCAAAGCTGGGGGAAATCTTGGCTCTGCATACACTAAGAGTCATTTTAAGATTTTGGTTTAATTGCTAATGATTAGAAAATGAAATGGAAAAAAAAATCAAATATTACTCCATTTCCACTACACTCACGGGAAAATTTGATGGTAACAATATTCAATTTCTAGATTGTGTATATTGGCGTTTTCCCAGCCAGTTTAGTATACCCTTCAACTCTCATTTCTACATTTAAAATAACAAAAGGAGAGGATGTCGAAATTTACTTTTTTGCCACAGAAATCTTGGCCCCTGTGTCTAGAACTGGAATTATCTTCGCAATGACATTTTCCCGTCTCTTTTTACACCTTGCCTTTCCCTTACAAATCATAATCTCTTTTCATCAGTACATCTGCCCAAACGCTCTCCGACTTGACAGTTCTATCCCACACTCGCCTCTGAGCCTCTAACAAGACATACCTCTGGGAATTGCAAAGTGCCATATTTAAAATCTCTCTGTGAGATATCCAGGTTTTCCCGTGTGATCATGAGGGATTCCTCAGATCTGAGTTCCAGAGCTAATCTGTGACAACTGATAAGCCCAGTATTTTCACATTAGTGTGTTTATGTTGCGCTAATATACTTAAACAGTATGTGTGTCCGTGGTGCGTTTTTGTGCAACACTTTTTTTCTCAGCTTCTGATTTTTTTTTTTTTAAGCACGGTGTCTTAAATGTTGGATAGATAGCTTGGGCTCAAAGTCCATGATACTGTCCAACCTAAATGGACTTAATCAAATTGTAGGGAGATAACATGTCAAGGACATATTCCATAGGGACAAGAGTCCACAATAAAATGCAAGAAATTATCGATGCATGCCAAGCATGGATGATTCTCAGATACTGCCCTCTAAGTTGAGGGAGGGTTGCATGCTGCATGAATCCACTTATGGTATTCTGGAAAGGGTAGAACCATGATGCCCAAAACCAGATCAGTGATCACCAGGGGACAGCGAGAAGGCACTGGTGACAAAGAAGCTTCTTCTTGAGGGGATTTGTAAGGTGATAAAGACATCCTCAGTGTAGCAGTAGTTACTGAAAACATTTGTCAAACTCACTGACCTCAGAAGAGTGATCTCCACGCTGAAGCTATGTTCATCTGACTCAGGGTATTGAACCACTTCAAAGAAAGGACACACGGATCTCTTTGAGCTGTACACAGTCCTCTTCTCAAGTTGGACTTACATCCAATGGGCTTGTTTTCCTCGATTTCAGTGCTAACAAATGTGCACTGATTGTTTTAGACAACTGACAGGTATCTTGAGGTGGCTTATTAGTGTTTTGAGAGCTTTCAGAAGAAATGAAAATTGCCTGACCAGTTATAAATATTATGAAATAGAATTAATTATAAAGAACATTATGAAATGGGATGCCTGCCCTATTATGATACCAATCGTTTGATTTTCATTTCAATTAAGCTCTTCTGCCAGTAAGCCATTGTGTCTCATATTACATGGTAGTTATCAAATCGAAAAACGTAAATGCTCCCACAGCCATTTGACATAATAGAAGCTAGGGTCAGCCCAACCTGAACAGCAAGTTCCACAGATCCTTCTGATTCCAAGTCAGCTTCCAGAACTCCTGTGCCCTGACATCTCCCAGTTTCATGTTAGTTCGGATCCTTGATGATGGTATTGCCTGCGTCTTTGGAGATAAACGACGAGAAAGAAGAAGGTTGTCAAAATGGAATGACCTGACCACAGACAGCCGCACTGGGACTCAGTGAAGGGCATACACTTGCCATTCATACTCTGGGTAGATGGCGGCTTCATGTAATTATAGTAAAGAGAAACATTTCCAGACTCCCAGACTCTAGCGAATGTAATGCCAGACGTCAGTCATACTCTCTGGGAGAAGATTCTTTTAGGGATTTTAAATTCATGTTTATTTATCTCTGAAATGTTAATTTCATAACTGGTCAGTAGGTCTGCATGCTTCATCCAATTCTACCCTTTGCTCATTCCACTGTCGTGATACACAAAACAGCCCCATGGGTTCTGTAATAATTTGTGTTTGAAAGCCGCTATTAAGCTTAGGATTTCTTTCCAGGGGAGAAAATTTATGTGTACAGGTAAGATACATAATTCAAATCACAAATGTGCAGGAACTCACATTTACTTTCCTGCTGGGTGTTAACTGTAGGTAGCTTTTGCGGATTTGAGTCACTCCCGGCAGCTGCTCAACCGTAGTGGAATGTTTTCAGTGTAGCCCGTGTGAAACTCTTACCTTTGATTCATACTTGCTTGGGTGTGCCTTCCTTCCTTGCATTGAACTGTATGTGCTGTGTGCTGTAGAGGTGTGCAGCGAAAATACGTTTATTCTCAGAAATATTTTTTAAATATTTTAAAATGTTTTCCTTTACAGAATCAGACACAAGTTTGGCAGAAGGAAGTGTCAGCTGCTTAGATGAAAGTCTTGGACATAACAGCAACATGGGCAGTGATTCAGGCATCATGGGAAGAGATTCAGGTACTGCCTCAGTGTTGTGCAAACCTGGGAAAGTGTGAAGTAAGACACCATATAGTGGGATGCATGGGGGCTGTTCAGAGCCTCCCTAATGGACAGATGCAATTAAAGCAATTTTGTTTGCAACAGCGAGTCATGCTGGAACTTTGCCATTGAATTTCTTTTACAGCACAACTTGCTCAAGTCTTACAAGGAAACCTTAATTTTGATCTAGTAGATATCTTTTTGGTCAGGCATAAGCCATGGTTCATAGAATTATGTCCTCTCTTTCATGAGATCCGTTTCAGCTAATTTAACTGTGCTTAACTTCTTTGTACTGTTTGGTTTATTTACCCCTTCCCCAGTTATTTATTTTATTTTTTTATTTTAAAATGTTCTAAGGCAGAAAATTAATCCTTCCCACAGGTGCAATGTGACTGCAGATAATAAGTAGGGGGCCTCTGAAAACAGGAATCTTGCAGTCACACATAGAGCTAAGTTAGTTTTGATCTCTAAATGAAAACTGGACTGGGTATCTCCCATACTGTTCTCCATATTGGCTGCCTCTCGCTCCTGCAGGAAGCGAGAATGCCTGCTTCCAGTGCCCCCCAATTCACCAGGGCCTCCCCTTATTAGACTTCCTAACTTGTCAGTTTGATTGATCCAAATTATCCCGTGCTCTCTCTTGAATGTTGGAGGGGGACCATCTTTCAACTGTGGCTGCAGAGTTACTGGTGTCTGCTGCCCACCTTTCTGCATTTGTCTCCAAGTTTGAAACGATGCCTTGCGAGAATTAATAAATAAAACTACTTGGCAATGAGCCAGTTTGGGACCAAGGGAAAAGTGACAAATTAAGAAATAAATTAGCTTATGTTTTGTGATTGGGTTGTTTCTACTTAGAAAGTACTGTTTGGTTCATATTGTTCCGCATTGTAAGATTTATAGAAATATAGACAACGGGAAAAAGGGTTTTGGATAAGCATGGGTATCTGCCTTAAATGCTTCTGGAGTCAAACTACACCATGCTTCTATTTATGCACGTCTTTTTTTCCTTCCTCTCCCAGCTACACTACTGCAATCTTTACAAGTTAACTTGAGGAAAGCCAGCTCACCAAATGTCAGCCATGACTTTGTCATAAAAGAGGGTCAGTTCGTTTTCTGTTCAGTGAGGTCAGTGTTAAGTTCCCCACAGGAGTCAAATTTGGTTTTCTTTGTTATGAAATAGTTAAATTTAATAATTGCCACGTCTACTGCGTGTCACTGATGCTAGTACTCTAAATATACTCTAGCTGATGGTTGCGGTCCATATGGGTTGTTTTAAGCTGCCGTGCCCTATCCTAATTTGTATTTGTCTAAGGAATGGCTTTTCAACAATATTTATTCATTCAATAAATATCTAAAACCCATCCTCTATTTGCAGGGCATTTTGCCTACTTAGAGCTGTCAGCAAATGTATTTGCTGATTTTTGGTCTTCAATGTGGCATGAAAGACCTGATAAATCTGAGCACAGCCTCCTTTTCAAAAGCAAATACATTTTCAAAAGCAAATACATTTTTAAAAGCAAGTGCATTTTCCAGGGGCGCCCTTCAAGGTCTAGGTGGATCAGTGTTTTAAGAGCAGAGGAGGATTTTGTGTAGTGGGCAGTAAAATTCTGAAATGATGACATTTAGGAAATATTTGACCCTGAGTGCATGCTGAAGCCATTTAATAAAAGCTTTTGGTGAATTGGTGAGGGGTTAAATGCACCCTGGATCATTTAAGACTGTAAGAGCTGAAATTGATCTCTCCTTCGAGGCTGACATCGTAAGGCACTGTAAATCACACATCCTCAACCACCCCCCTTTATAAGCAGTACAATGAGAACCAGGACAGTTGTTTTATGATCTGCATAGAAGTATCCAACTATAGCAGAATGTGACTGCCAGCGCTTTTCAAGTTTATATAACCTAATCAGGTCACAAGATTTCTCTTCCCCCATCTTCAGAGAGATATATTGATTCTCAAAGCAGTGGCACTTTTTGTCAGTCCATATTGACCTGATATGGAGGATGTGCCTCCTGCTATTTGGAGAAGATGTCTATTAATATTTGTCCAATAGGAGCGTTTTCTCCCCGTGGTTCCACACTATAGGTAAAAGGAGGCTCTGTCGATTTCAAACACATGCAGTGGCAGACCTTTTCTCTCCAAGAATAACTCAGCTGTCAAAACCCATGTGAGAATGAAATTTGCCACATGGTGTAGTTCCGATGGAATATTATTATTTAAACCCGATTTCATTTCATTTTTGACCATTTCCATGTTGTAATAGAATGTAAAGATCCTCAGCTGGCTCTTATCTGAAAAGGGGATGGGCAACGTGCTTCAAAGCCTGTCACTGTCTTTAATCCCATGTTCATTCTTGGGTTTAATTGATTATAATTTAGGTCCGATGGATTATATAATTGGTCTTAATGGGTTGTAAACTGGGTTCTATTGATTATATAATTGGGATATATTGATTACATAAGAGAGAGAGAGAGATCCAAGAATAAATAAAGCAAAGCCAAATATTTCATTTTTACTTGATGTTAGCTCGTGGCTCATTGATTCTAGCCGGGTTTTCTCCTTCTGGTGGCAGAGGAGATGAGCCTCTGTTTTCATTGCTTACATAGATACATTTTTCTATGCCGGGGTCAGAAGATGTGATCAGGCAAGAATCAGGCAGAATATTTAGCACTAACCCAGCATTTTTCTTTGGATGCTGTTCTAACATTGAATCCAACTCTTTTTTTTTTTTTTCTCTGAATCCGTTCTGTTTTTCTGTTTCAAATTTCTGGGCTGCCCAGTGGGATTCCTAGTCCCGACTCAAAAATAAATAGGATTACTTTATTTATCTAGTCGGATATATTAGGTGTGAGCAGTATAGTTCCCTATATTAAAGTCCTTTGAGAAACAAATTAAGTTTGGCAGGTTATAGTGTATAGCAGGTGCCTACAGAATGGATTAGCGGCACGTGATCAGCTCAGTCATAGCTTTGGTTCTGGAGTTAAATCTTTAAAATGATAGCCGTTTGATTCTTCTAATCCTTCTGAGTTATAAAAATATACTAAAATCCTACTATGTTGTACTGGTTCCTTTTCTCATTACTTAACCACATGCTTGACAAGAAGCAACTTAGGGGAAGAAAGAATTACTCTAGCCCATGGTTCGGAGGATAGGGCCCAGCACGGTGGAAAGTGTAGCTCCTGAATCTAGAAGCCTGAGAGTGAATTTGCTTATTTCTCTGGCAGACTAACAGGAAGCAAGTTGTCCAGGTTAGACCTCTCAAAGGCTCCCCTTGCCTCAGCCCAGACCCAACCTTTGAAAGCTTCCTCCCAAAGCGGAGCTACCCACAAAGGAGCCTGGGAGCTACTTTGCTTTCAAATGCTAACATAAGCACATCAGTGACACCAACAGATCATTCATTTTACTTGGGTTTTGGGCTTCTGGAAAAGAGACCTAGCAAATCCTTATGTTTCTCCTATAAGTTTTGTTACCCAAGGATATAAAAGAAAACATAACAACAAAAGGGGGGAATTATTACTAAAACGGTATACACAATTACTATGAGGAACGGGACATTTTATTGCTTTTAAGTCAATACTAAAATTTTGATAGAGTAAAATTAACAGAGGATATATTGATATAAAATTCCATGTCTAGATTAATATACTGCTTAGATTTTATCTTTCATTATAAACAGTCTAGCTCTTTGGGGAAAATTTGGGTATTAAATGCTCTTAGTAGAGGAGAAACGTGAAGGTTTCCATTAGCTATAAAAGCCACTTGCTGGAAACAAGGCGTTATCGTTAAACAAACCTGAAACTTACAGAAAGATAAAGGGAAGTGAATCTCAAATGCTGATGACCTCTGCGGCTCTTTGTTAATAAAAACCACATTAAATGACTCAGCAGATGATCCGTCCGCAGCCTAAATGTACCCCATCTGTCGTTATCCACGCGTAGACGGCAAACGTCCTGCATGCTCTGTAGATGGCTCTCAATAAGTGGTATTTGGTGTGAGTTTTCCTACCTGCACAGCTCGTTCTCTCTCAGCAAGCTAAAACCCACTCAAAGAGGACCAGCAGTGTGCGGAAATGGAGCTGTCAGCAAGTTCTTTTAAGTTAATGGGACGGTGTTGGCTCAGTTTTATTGTGCCCATTGATAAGGGAGCGAGTGTGCGTGCCTCTCCTGTGTGGCGAAGCCCTGATAAGCAAGGTCGTTTCATCTTTTCTGACGCTTTAGAGCACAGGTGGACATTCAAGTTGGGAAAATGTTTGCTTCAATACATTCCATGCTGTAAGCAATGCAGTTTTAGAAGCTTTCCTCTCGGCTAATAAGATGGAAAAACATCATGGTCACCTCTGAACAAAATATACTTAAGCCAAGACATGGTATAGTAGGATTATTTTTAGCATTTATAACTTCACTATCAGATAGCATTTACCTTGTCGGTATTTTTTTTTATTTAAAAATGTATGTTATGGAAATACTTGTAATATATTTTTGCTTTGGGTATCAGGAGAACAAATGCATAGGGACTTGCATATCAGGGAGTAATGAAATGACAGCTTAAAACTACATGGCAAAATTCCTGACGATTTAGTTCAAAGCTACGCGATTGTGTTTTATCTTTTGGTGGAGACGTTATCAATTAAAGGTCAGCATAGAAAATTCTTTCCCACTGTGTTCTAACTATGCTATACAACCTAGTTGCCTCAGACACAAAAGATGTCCCTGTTCTCACTGTATGGATCTCTCTGTGTATCTGTGTCCTCTTTCTCTCTTTCTCTATTTACTCTGTTTCTCTCTGTGTGTCTCTCTCTGTCTCTCTCTCTCTCTGTTTCTCTCTGTCTCTCTCTCTCTGTCTCTCTCTCTCTCTCTCTCTCTCACACACACACACACACACACACACACACACACACACACACACACGCAGCCCTCCTTGTCCACAACTGCTACATATACAGATTCTGTCAACTGTGTATGGAAACTATATTTTAAAATGTGTATTGAAGACACGGAAATATTTTGTCATTGCTTCTTAAGGAATAAAAAATAGCTTTTTATATTATATCAGCTTTGTAACTAGGGATCATTTGTAAGAAGATATATAAGCATGTTATATGCAAGTGATGTTCCAGTTCAGGCCTTGAGCGCTTAAAGCCAGGCAGACACCAACAGACGACAGCAGGTATGCTCTCCTTGGCATTTAGTTGCCAGCTGATATTTTTGCAAATTAAGGAAGTAGTTCCAGCTGTTATTTTTCTTTCTTTAAAAAAAATGAAAATAAGAGCTGATCACTCCTGCCTCTCCAGCTCATCTTGATTTACAGGTGGAAGGACTAAGAGAAGCCGGAAGGACAAATGGTTGAACAAAGAACTGAGAAACCTGGTACATCGGCAAAGGGAGCCGACAAGCCTACAAGGCAGCCTCTCTGAGAGCCAAAGGGAACGTGCCCTTACTTGGTCTCCCCACGTCCTCTCCTCCCACCCACCCACCCCCACAAGCTGTTAATTCACTCTGGGGTAGAGAACCTAGGCCATAACCTGAAGACAAAGCCGACACTCTGTGGTATGGAAAACAGAGCGTGGGTTGACGTGGATCACAGAGGAAACGACGGACTTACACCACCGGAAACCTGTGTGCCGTTTCCGGCGTCAGAGCCTTTCTTTCTTCGTTGCCCGTTCTTTGACATCGCTTTTTCCATGCTTCCTTCCTTCAGATGAAAGAGTGGGGGCACAAAGAGCTTCCCCTGAGCCTGAACTGCAGCTCAGGCCTTACCAAATGGAGGTGGCCCAACCAGCCTTGGAGGGGAAGAATCTTATAATCTGCCTTCCCACGGGGAGCGGGAAAACCAGAGTGGCTGTTTACATCACTAAGGATCACTTGGACAAGAAGAAGCAGGCATCGGAGCCTGGGAAGGTGATAGTCCTTGTCAATAAGGTATGGCTCCCTGTGCTCACCTTGGCTTCAATAGCCTTATTTTTGTTTCATTATTCTGAAACTTTCAGACGCTGACATTTGTAGCAACAAATTGCACAGATTTTGTTTAATTAGGTGTAATGTCAAATAAACCATTTATTTTAATTTTCCACTTTAAGGTATATATACCTGAAATTTAAAAGATTAACTTTTAGTTTTTTTTTCCTCAAAAATCTGCAACATTAAATCAAATCGTTCTAACTTATGTATAAAAATATTCCAACACCCAGTGTAAGGCCAATGAATATGAGCACGTGTGACCTGAAATTGTCTCTGGAATCTAGGATCAGGTGCCTCCTTTTAAAGTACCTTTAACCACTAATGCTTAACCAAACATCCTCTTTTTCCAGAATATACAGAATGTGACTGAAAGCCAGAGAGAAAATTAAGTGAATATTTTGTCTATTTCAAGTTAAATAGGCAAATTGATGGAAAAGAATTTATGCAAATATATAATATTAATTGCTATTGAACTTTTCCCTGAAAATGTATGTCTTCTGAGGACCCCAAACCCATCTTCGTACCAACATTATAATCATAATCTATTTATTTGAGTTTTATTTATAGATGAGAATTTATGCACTTATAGATTGGGAATACTAATCTTTCCTATTTTATAAAATAAAATTTAGTGTGCTTTTCCTGACCCAACAGTAGCTTTCTTCTTGTTTCCATATATTTAATTACGGAAACTACATGGATAAACTTTTAAGACCGTATTTTTTAAGATTTAGGTTATTCCAAACCTTTTGGTTGAAAGCTGCCTCGCTATACTTAAAACTACGGTCAGAATCCAAGCCTTGGCGATTTTCATCATGACATTTGAGACAGACTTGCGTGCAGCTTCAGAGTTCCACGTGCTCTCCCGGCACTGGCACGTGACTCAATGGCAGAGCCCCAATGCCCCCAGAACAAAGCACAGAGACATGACATCTTTATATGACAGCTTTCTACGCACTATAAGAAGATAGGTTTGTTTTCCTTTGGTTGGTGATGATGACACATTAGTATTTATTTGCCCAAAACCTTTCATTTGTTCCCATTTCAAATATAATACGTTTAAATCCCACTTCTAACCATCAGCACTTTGACCTTAGACAAAAATCAGAAACCTCTCTGGCTTTTTATTTGCCTAGTCTATAAAATCAAATTAGCTTCCATGTTCTGAAGTTAAAATTTGACTCTGCATGTGTGTGTATGTGTGCATGTGTGCACGTGCGCACACACATATACACACGTGCTCACATACTAAAAAGAGTTTAATAATGCCTTATTAAATTTTCATATCTTTAATGAAGTGAAATATTTCACATATCGAACAGGATTGAGTCCTAGGTCAATAGAAAAAAAAGAACGTTAAATTATTATCCAGGCACTTAAAGGCTCTTAAACCAATGCCTTTGTTTCTCTGGGACAATTTTGCCCTTTTCTGCATTTCAGCCTCATTCCCTCTCGTCTCAGAGATTCTCTTTTGGATTTTTCTCTCTCTGTTCTTCACCACCTCATCCAAACCATGAACATTCAGTTATTATTTTCCATTCTTTTCCTTCCCTGATTTCCATTATCTGGTCATAGGACCACTGATCATAAGAGTTGAGGGGGCCTTTGTGAGGTAGCCTTCTTCCTTGGAGGAGATATGCCTGGTACCAAGAATACCTCCCATCTTTCAAAATAACCACAGGTATTCTTTCCACTATTGCTGCTCAAGAGCTCCATACATGTGAATATTCACGCAAACTTATGTTTCTGTGGAACACACAGTCACTCTTTCCTCTGTCATTCTGTAGTATAAACCTCATTCTCTGGTTTTGCAACAGCTCTTTATAAAGAAAAGGCAACATCCTATCATTATTCATGTAACACAATTCCCAGGCCGCCCAAGATTTGGAGTTCTCCCAGACCCAGTGTTTAGAGTTGGACAAAATGCTGTAGATGCAGTCTTAGGGGTGTGGAGTGAAAGCGAGATGAGGTTGACATCCAGCCCGGGTCTGAGGACGTTTGTCCATCACAGACTTCAACATTAGCTGCATCTTGTTATCAGCTTAAAATCCCTGGTTACTTTTCATTTGAATACATACGATGCTGAAAATCTTTTTAATTTATTCTTCTGAAACTAAGTTTCAGGCTTTCAGTGCAAGCACCCAATATTTTCCATATTATTCTTCATGCTATTTGATCATTTTTAGATCTGTTTTTATGATTTTATGCATATGAGTGCTTTGCCTACATGCATGTCGTGGAGCACATGCATGTCTGATACCCATGGAGGCCGTGGCATTTCAAATGGCTTTTTCTCCACAGATGAGCACTGAGAGCATCACTCAGTCCTTTTCTGCCTCATTCTTGTTTCCTTTGAGATTACTAAAATTCTTCCCACTAGCTCTCTGTTTACATCATAATTGCGTACTGTAAGTTTTTTCTCAAACATAATTAAAATAACTTCAACTTTAATTATTGATTTTTTTTCTTCAGGAAATCTCTGACTTAGTAAGACAGCATGTTCATGTTTAGCCCAATAGCAATGTCTTATAACTTTTAATCTAGAATACAGAAATTCTAGTCTCTAATACCATTTCCTTTCGTCTCCATCCTTTCCAAAGTTATAGCCTTCAAGTGCAGAGAGAAAAGCAAACACCACCTGTGCTCCCAGACTTTCCGTTTCCTATCTAGGGCTTCACCATCGCAAGGGATAAATCCCAGGTTCCTTCCGATGCTGGGATGCAGCCCCATATGATTCAGCAGAAGTGGGTAGCAGTTGGGCTTGATTAGTCTTGGCACGCACTGTGTCATATCTCAGGAAAAGGCTCCAAGAGGACCACACACCTCCCAATTAGCCATGTCAGACTTGCATCTGGCTTTCTCTGTGTCCTTCAGTAGGAAGTCAATGCCACCCAGAGCGAGTCTCAGGATTATCCAACAGTGACTGAGTTATCAGGTAATGTGATCATTATGAGAAACTGATGGTGCTTGTGCTGAAGCTTGGCCATGACATTCTTCCTGCCAGTTTTCTATTTGCTATACTATGTATTCCTGGACTTCCAGTTTTACATCCTCCTAGAATGGAACCTGTAACAGCATTTTTCTTTTGGGCCACCAACCAGCTTCCAAATCATGGCACAGGGACTTCCCATTAGTTACGAATGCTCAGCCTTCTCTTATCCTCTTACAACTTAACCTGTTTCTCTTTGTCTATGTTTTGCCTTGTGGATTTACCCTTTTCTTTCTGTGTGTCCCACTTTTCCTGCTTCTTCTGTTTCTGGCTGGCTGGTGCTGGCTGTCTCCCTCTTTTTCCTCCTCTGTTCTCTTCTTTTTCCTCTCCTCTCTCGAGCCTCTATTCTTCTTCCTACGCATTCTCTCTGCCTGCCAGCCCCACCTATTCCTCTCCTTCCTGTTCATCTTTTAATTAGACCAATCAGGTGCTGTAGGCAGGCATGGCAAGCAACATTTAGTTTTAATAACTAAACAAATACAGCAAAAACAATTGTAACACATCCTTACATCATTAAACAAAGGCAGCAGAAACAAATGTAACACACCTTTACACAGGGAAAGTAATATTCCACAGAATAAACAAATGTAACACATCTTTATCTAATTAAGTAGTCGGCAAGGACCCTCAAGATAGCCTGGGATTGGCCATACAACTCAGGTGTTAGGGTATTTGCCTAGCAAACAAGAAGTCTAGAGGTCAATCCTCAGTACTTCACACAGCACAATTCTTGCTTGGTGGTATTTGCTTGTAATTCCAGCAATGAAGAGGTAGAGACAGAGGGATCGGGAATTCAAGGTTATCCTAAGCTATATAGGGAATTCAAGGCCAGCCTGGACTCTGTGATAATACCCTTTCTCAAACAAAAGAAAACAAAATTTAAAAGTAACATAGACGAGCTCATCTTCCTCTTGGTCCAGGAGTTAATGACTTGAAATGCGGAAGTGGCACCGGGGTTCCAGTACTTGCTGTCACCAGTTATTGCAACATAATAACTGACTAGAAAGGAAGCAAAATTTCTACCTCTCTCACGCATTCTCGCTACTTTGTTTTCATGGAGACATCAAAGCCATCCCGGTAGTCCATTCTTTCCTGCACTTTGTTCTACAAATGTGTTGACGCTACTGCCCTCGTTCCGTGCTCTTCCCACTCTCACAGTCAAATAGCCTTTAGCAGGATCCCAGGCACTAAGGATGAAAGAGCTCTAGAATATGTGCTCAGCTAGACTGAGTTTCTCTAAGTCAGCAGCCTTATCTTAAATACCTTTGTGTTCTGGATGCAGTGTCTACATGTAATACAAACACGATGGGTGCTTAGTGTCAGATGAATAGATGGCATGATACATAGGTGGTCATATCAAATTAACTGATTCAGTGTACACATTTCTCTTACCAGTCCACACACAGTCCTTTGCCTGATATGCCTCTGTATCTTTCAATTTGCTTTCCTCTCTCCGTCTTCTGAATTAAAAAAAAAAAAAACTCTTGTGTGTTCCCATTTATAAAGGTAATGTTAGCTGAGCAGCTTTTCCGCAAAGAGTTCAACCCATTTTTGAAGAAATGGTATCGCATTATTGGTTTGAGTGGTGATACCCAGCTGAAGATATCGTTTCCAGAGGTTGTCAAGTCTTATGATGTCATCATCAGCACAGCTCAGATCCTGGAGAATTCCCTCTTAAATCTGGAGCGTGGAGAGGATGATGGTGTGCAGCTGTCAGGTACGCTGGGATGATGATGTTTAGAAAAAAGACTGATAGAGATATTAAAGATAGTAACAAAGGCTGCTCCTTGTATCATTTTTTACTTGATGAAAATTAACCTTAGTTTATCTAAGTTATTTTTTATTTGCTGAGGCTTCATTGAAGTGCTCTACCTCCTGGAAAAATGAACAAAAGCAGAAAAATGTCTAACTTGATGGCTTGCTTTTGCATAAGTATCTCGATACTAACTCAGGCATCAAGCATTCACTATATTCTTCCATTATTTCACACACACACACACACACACACACTCACACTACAGAGTTTCAACTTAACATTTGACTGGCCCACTGCTTACCAGAGTTCCAATTGCTCTTGCTTTGTGCTATCATTCTGCTTATGTCTCTCTGAGAGAATAATTTCATTGTAATATACATATATATCATATATATAAAATATTATATATAATTTTAAAATTTGGTGATAGATCCTATTAGAACTACCTTCTTTACTGTAGAGTAAGACTACAATCCTGCCTACACTATTTGGAATAATCAAATGATTAGGAGAAAGACCGAGAAAAGTAAAAGTTATCACAATAATTAGATGCAAGCTTTAAACAACATAAAATCATCCCTCTCTAAATAGCATACTTTCACTTGCTGTAATAAAAATAGAGTTTCTAAGGCTAAAATTAAAATTTTGTTCAAGCACAAAAGTGGAGCCCTGGGAAGATTTTATTTTTGTGTTTGATGTTTGTTTGTTGTTTGTTTGGAAGAAAGGTATGAGTTTCACTAACACTTTCTGGATCTTGTACTGAGACAAGGATAATAGCTAATAGGAACAGAGTCATGATGACCACATATGAGTTTTGTATTCATGAAATGGTAATAATGGGTAAAGTTGTATTTGTGGGTAAAGTCACAGCAGCAGACTGAAGTAGGGCTGTACCAGTATTCTTCCGGATGACTGACATGCAGGTGGCAGCTCATTCCTTTAGCTTCAAGGCTCTTGTCCTACTGCTCTAGGCCAGTTTGGGTGAACGCTTCCCACCGTTTCTGTTCAGATTTCTCCCTCATTATCATTGACGAATGCCATCATACCAACAAGGAGGCGGTGTACAACAACATCATGAGGCGGTATTTGAAGCAGAAGTTGAAAAACAATGGCCTCAAGAAACAAAACAAGCCAGTAACTCCCCTGCCACAGATCCTAGGACTGACAGCTTCACCAGGTGTTGGAGGAGCCAAAAAGCAAGCCGAGGCTGAAAAACATATTTTAAATGTAAGTCTCTGAGTTTATGAACAACCAACCAGCTCTGTCGAGTGCCTAGGCTTCTTAGGGTTTTCAGTACGTGTTGAGAGTTCAAGTGCCAACGTTGTCCTTGAAGGTTGTGTGCTTTGCCTCTAGAAAATCGACTCAGCCTTCTACAGCATGGCAATATCCTTCATAAACGAGCAATAGAGAACAATGACATAATTGCTATGAAGCTGGATATAATTAGTGAGAAGGACTGTAGAGATGGCTCAGCTATTAAATGCTAGGCTCACAACCAAAATTAGCGAGAAGTTTGGGTTGAATAGAATGCCTTTGCAGCTCTTCTACTTCAACACTTGAGCGCCATGATCTCTTGATACAGACACAGAGTTAAACCACACGTGCCGATAATTTTCCTTGCTGATGACTTGTTCCTCCGTGACTTTCAAAGCAGCATGCTTTTTGTGTCTTTTTCCACTATGTGTCAGTCTAGGATATGGGTTACTCACACGAAGAGATAAAAGATGCAAATGTAGTGGTTCGTGCCTTTAATCCTGGCACTTGGGAAGCAGAGCCAAACAGATTGCTGGATGTTTGCAGCGAGTGAGTTCCAGGCCAGCTCGTGCTGCTGAGTGGGACCCTGTCCCTTAAATAAGGGCTTGGGGATGGAAGGTGGGGGAGTGGGGAATAAGAATATGAGGATCTTTTATTAAAGATGCACCCATCAACTTCCCCAAATAAGGGTGCTATTTACAGTGCTGCTATTGACCTCAGGTGAGACCATCAGGGGACCTAAGAAGCCTCTCATTGGAGAGGAATTCAGTAGAAACTGCTAAAGTAAAAAAAAAAAAAAAAAAAAAAATTAGAAAAGGATTGTCTCCAGGATATACCTTATTACTGGAGTAAAGGCCTAAATGCTGCCTATGATCTAGGCACCAAGAAGAAGGTAGCCCCTCCCTTTGTGCTTTCTTCATATGTAGAAAAGAGTGGAGATGCATGGCCAAGACCGTGAATGTCGCAGCCTGATACAGACAGATAGCAGCTGCCACAAAACTATCCTGCTATCCACTTATTTCTAAGCTATGAAATGGAATTTAAATGACAGCTTTTTCTAGAATTAGACTTAGAACACACTTTTAGAACCAGAACAAATATTATTGATAATTGGTTGAATACATCCATGGTAGGCATTGCTAAAATGGTACATTGACTATAATGCGGCATATTACTTGAACGGAATGTTATACTACATATTTGTGCTAAAAGCTTCATATTACACTTTATTGACATAAAACTATGCATTCGGTTGTAAGAAAAGAACACTTAACGTGTCTCTCTTCCAGATATGTGCCAATCTTGATGCCTTTACCATTAAAACAGTGAAAGAGAATCTTGATCAACTTAAACACCAAATAAAGGAACCATGCAAGAAGTTTGTGATTGCTGATGACACCAGAGAAGTATGTTCCAAACAGTTCATATGTATTTGTCTGGCAATGCCATATATATATATATGTGTGTGTGTGTGTGTGTGTGTGTGTGTTTAAAGATGGCCGGGGCTTTTTTATGTTCACCAAATGAGTAGTCGCATTTAACATTTTTTATCAAAGCAGTCATCATTTTATACTTTTAAAAATTGACAAAAGGCAGCAACACTACTAGGAATGGTCCTCACCATCCTCCTCCTCCTCCTGTCTTAGATGGAACGTAGTTCAGGATTTGACTATATGCGGTTCTTGGAGGAGGGGGAGCCTTGGGCTGAGGAGCATTGGATGGCTAAATTACAGGGACTGTTGCAGTCAATGCCCTCTTACTGACTTGATGCTTTGCAAGATGGGTTTTGTGACATTCCAGGGAGCCATTCTGTTGCAGTTGGCTGTGACAATAGATATTCTCATTTGTGTATTTTCTTTCCTTGGAAAACACTGATTGTGAAAAAGTAAAATATTTAATGTACCGATGCTTTTCTGATGAATAGTTTCACTAATTTTAAAAAAAAATAGCTTATAGCCAATATGGATGTTACATTTAATAGGATATTCCAATTCTTTTTTTCATAGAATTGAAGACTTAATAAATCTTAGCTATGAATAATAAATTTAGTCCCATTGAGAAGTCCCCTCCTAAGGCTATGGGACTAAATGATGGGACAAGTGTGCAGTGTTTTAGGCACCAGGCCAGTGCTAATGGCCAGTGCCAGCCTCTACAATGTGCCCATTTCATTCGGAAACAGAGCTATGCTGGCGTGTTGATTACACTGTACCCGCGCTTTCAGTTCTTGTCACTGGTATTTACCTGACAAACTCAAGTTCATGCTTCTCGTCATGATCATCCAAAAACATTTCCCTGAATATCCTTTGAGAAGAATTGCCATTCTTCTTTTACTTAACTTTTAAAATTACTATTTAGAAAAGTTCAGTGTGTGGAGAAAAAGCACAAAATGTGCCCGTGGATTTTCATAAATTAACCGTACTTAGGTAGAAAAATTTAGATAACTAGACAGTACGTTAAAAGGCCCTCTAAACTCCTTCTTTTTCCAGTCACCAGCTAAGGGAAACTATTTGTCTTGACTGATTTTAAATTTCATCCAAGTTGAATTCATATCTAGATTTTTCCAAATGATGTCAGTTGATTGTATTTTAGAAGGAGTAGTGTACCTGATAATCACAGAGGAATGTTACCTAACTACAATTAAAGACTGTCTAAGTAATTGGACAGTGACTCAATAAATATTTGTAATTGCCTTTAGCTTTCAAGGTTTTTTTTTTTTTTTTTTTTTAAGAAATTTAGACGGGCAGTTTATGATAGAGGTTTATGGTGTCAGGATTGGGGTGTCCTGATGGTAGGAGCAAAATGGTAAAAACCAAACACAGCATACAAAGAAGTGGTCACAGGTTATTCTGTTACACTAATTCGTGATTCAGAATCAATTATAATATATCAATTATTTTAACAAAGACAATGCCATTTAGTAATACTTGTGTAATTGTTTTTAGAATCCATTTAAAGAGAAACTTATAGAAATTATGACCAGCATCCAAACTTACTGCCAAATGAATCCAATGTCAGATTTTGGAACCCAGCCTTATGAGCAATGGGCCATTCGTATGGAAAATAAAGGTAATTTGGGTCTCGATCTAACAGTTTTTTTCCTTGTTTACACCAAGATTTTAGATGATGCTCTCAGACTCAGAAACAATCTGAAAGCAAATGGAACATCAAGTAGAATTTCTGTTTTGTGTGTAGGGCAAGCCCGCACATGTTCTAACTCCTCATCTGAGGGAAGAGGTGTCAATTCACCCGGTTTTCACTTACGTTTATTATATATAAAGTATTAAGGCAGCTATCAACAGCTCTGTCTCCAAAGGCAATTTTACTGACGCGTTTTTCCAAGCTGTTCAGCCATGGTTCAGGTCCACATTCCTGCTCATACAGAGCTCAAGCAGCAAGCGTTGGCATTGACAACCAGCCCCTTTAGAGCCCGTGGCGCATATGGAGCCTTGCTCATCCTAACACCGCAGTGAATTGGCTTCGGAGCCACAACCAATTCAAGTTCACAACACTGTTGTAGGACGGTTCTCTGCCCTTTGCCTCACTCACAGAGTTGTTTTCTTCCACAGCTGCCAAAGATGGAAACCGCAAAGACCGTGTCTGCGCAGAGCACTTGAGGAAGTACAACGAAGCCCTACAAATCAATGACACTATCCGGATGATTGACGCATACAGTCACCTGGAGACTTTCTACAGCGACGAGAAAGAAAAGAAGCTTGCGGCCCTAGAGGACGACGATGATGAGAGCGGAGATGATGCCAGCAGCAATGACGATGTAAAGAAACCTCTGAAGCTGGACGAAACAGATAAATTTCTCATGAATTTATTCTTTGGTAAGACTCAGTATAACACAGGGCCCAGGTTCCTGCCCTGACCTCTCAGACAGAGACTCACTGCTCTCTCTGAGTTTTATAGAATGCCTTCAAAATTCATCTTAAAACGAAAAAATTTCATGAAGACTGTGACTTATAATTGATACCATAGGTTAACTTTTAATTGTGTGATCATAATTAACCATTTGACCGTCCAGCTTTTATTGCCCAGACCATTACAATTAATTAATTAACAAGTCTGAACACTAAATATATCACAAGAAAATCACCTACAGATGAGTCCTGTCGTAGGGAATCATTATGTAATAACTGACAGTGTGATTTTTTTGTTTGTTTGTTTGTTTGTTTTTCAAGACTCAAGACAGGGTTTCTCTGTAGCTTTGGATCCTGGCTGGGACTTGCACTGTAGACCAGGCTGGTCTCGAACTCACAAAGATCCACCTGTATCTGCCTCCCAAGTTCTGGGATTAAGGGTGTGTAGACCACCTTAAAAGTATGCACCACCACCACCTCAATTTTTTTATTTAACTTACAAATGCAAGCTAATTTCATTTTAATAGTTTTAAAGTCAGTTTCTTCTTGAACTAACCAATAGAAATTGGATATATGTATGGTACATAATAGGTTTTGTGTGTGTGTGTGTGTGTGTGTGCGCCCGCACGCATGAGCTTAGTGGGGTAGCTACATCATGCTAATTACATTAATAATTATTTTTAAAGATAACAAGAAAATGCTGAAAAAACTTGCTGAAAACCCAAAATATGAAAATGAAAAACTCATTAAATTAAGAAACACTATATTGGAGCAATTTACAAAGTCTGAGGAATCATCTCGAGGAATTATTTTCACAAAAACGCGGCAGAGCACCTATGCCCTTTCCCAGTGGATTAAGGAAAATGAAAAGCTCGCAGAAGTCGGCGTCAAAGCGCATCATCTCATCGGAGCAGGACACAGCAGTGAAGTCAAGCCCATGACGCAGGTGCAGCAACTTCTTGGAGTCGTTTCTTACCCTTCAACTAAGTCCTTTCTGATTGTTTGCGATACTTCTCAATCCTTTCGCCATCTCAAACATAATCCCAGAAGGCTCTTAATTTTTGAATTAATGGTAGGCTGTTAGCTGGTACTCGATGAGTTAAGTGTCACCTCGGAATTCCCTTTTCTTTTTGCATATTTACAGGGATTTCTGAAGTTTGGTGCCTCTTGTAAAGATGAGGAACTTTTACGTTAACAACATCGCAAAGGGATATTCACAATATAAAGTCAAGTGGGAATTCAAAGCTGCACAGGATGTGTGGGTTACAACCCAAACTGTGCAGCAAATATTTGTAAGATAAAGCCTATAAGAACCTGGAGGAATTAATGTACTGGCTGTGTTAGGGATGGGGTTTTGAGAAGGCTTCTGCTCCTTTGCCAGACTCTTAAAATGATATTATTTATTATGTGCACAGTAAAAACTGTTTCTGAGAGAAAAAAAGACGCTTGTAAATGGTTTTTGTGTTTAAAAAATCATTTTACCTGTTTAAATATTCTTCGGAAAGCTAACTTTCCCTTGGGTCTGGCTTGGGGAGGAGACGCTTCAGTTCTGTGATAGGCCATCACTGTTTCACACAGTGGAACAAACCAAATTTATTTAGTGTTTAAGAGAAGAAAAATTAAAATGTCCCACTCTGACACCCACTACCTGTGCACTCCCTGGTGGTAGCTGATTTAAATCTAGGGGCTGCCAGCCCTGCGGTCTCACCTTGTGAACTGGAGTGGACCCATCCATCCTGATAACAGTTAGGCACGTACTTGATCTGAGGGCTTAGAGCCCTGAGCCTGGAATTTCATATTCAAGTACTCTTTGAAATGAAGCACAGCTGTATGCTAAAATCAAAGACATGATTTTTTTTTTTAAATCAATGGGTGTGAAGGAAGATGGTAGAAGGTGCAAAGATTTGTCAGGGAGGTTTCTATCATGTTCTTCCACAGTGATGAGACAAATAAAAACTCACGTTGTCTTTTAAGAAGAGAGGAAAGGGCGTAAGAGAGCACACACTTGGTCTAGAAGGTTAAGGTTGCTTAGTTTATGAGGATAGAAGTGTGCGCTGATGACAGAGGCAGGCAGCTTTGACGAGAGACCACCGACTGTCCACATCAGATGGGACTTACACTCAGCTGTTTCTCTAATGCCGAGGACAGAGGTTGGATTTCAATTGACTTATATTAACTTTCAAAGTTCACATTTTAAAAAATACTCATGGTGATTAGGCTGCAGTCATATAGCCATCTGCTTTTAATTTCTATTGTCTTTTAAGTAGGCCTTATATTTACCCTGGTTAAAGTTCAATCTTCCTCAAAGTAAAATTAAAGAGTAGCGCTGCTACCCACTTTTCCAGCTCCACTCCCTGGAGACACCCGGCACTTTGACTTTCTCCTATATCCTTTCTGGACTGTTCTGTAGGATTTTGTGTTTGTTTTTTCCTGAGTGATCCTTAAAGTGACCAACTGCAATATACAGGGGAAATTTTCTATGTCCCAAAACTGATGTAAATGGTTCAGTGATTTGTTTTTTAAATCCCTAAATCTCAGACTCTGGGGTTGACGTACTGAAAGGTAAACCCTATTTTAGCCTGTCCCTGCCAAGCCTTTTCTGAGCCAGCAATACCTCTCTCCCTTTTCTTCCTCCCAAATCGCCCATCAATTTATTTCCTTGGCATAAAGAATGCTCTTCCCACCTCCAGACTGCAGGATGGAAATATTTTTGTTATTGTGCGGTAATCCCAGATTGGAAATCAAATGTTGTCTCACCATCATGTCTTTGTTCATTGCCAAAAACAGATGGTGGCAAATCCACGCATGATCTAATCCTCTGATTTGCACTGACCAGTTGCAATTTATGATTTCTTCTCCTAATTAGAAGATCTGAATGTGTTTAGCATCACAAAATTTAATTTATTAAAATGTTTCCACAGAATGAACAAAAAGAAGTCATTAGTAAATTTCGCACTGGAAAAATAAATCTGCTTATCGCTACCACAGTGGCAGAGGAAGGCCTGGATATCAAAGAATGCAATATTGTTATTCGCTATGGCCTCGTCACTAATGAAATAGCCATGGTCCAGGTATGCTCAGAGATCTGTACCTAGCATGTTCCTTCTCATTCCTATGTGCCTATATGGATTCCTCCCTTTTACTAAAACAACACAAAACCTCTGTTGTAATAAGGCCACTTGTTTGTTTCCCTGCCGACTGGCAGCTCAGACCCAAAATAATCACACAGAAACTATATTACTTAAAACACTGCTTGGTCCATTAGCTCTAGTTTCTTATTGGCTAACTTTTATATATTAATTTAACCCATTTCCATTAATCTATGTATTGCCCACATGGCAGTGACTTACTGGATAAAGTTCCATCCGGCTCTGGAGGGGCTACATGGCTTCTCTCTGACTCCACCTTCTTCCTCCCAGCATTCAGTTTAATTTCCCCCACCTAGCTAAGTTCTGCCTTGCTATAGGCCAAAGCAGTTTCTTTATTAATCACTGGTAATCACAGCACATAGAGGGAAATCCCACGTCGTTCTTTAGCTTTAAGTAAACAACTGTGTTTCTGCTAAAAGACCAATCTTAAAGAACTGCAAGCAAAGCCTCTTATATGACTGCTGTTTGTTGAACTACTATGGCAACTTCTTATAATTTAACAAACAATCCTATTTTGGTTGCTATTTCTATGTCCTGAGATTTTTCCAAGACCATGCATAAAATTGGCCCCATTACAAAGCTCAGAAGAGGCCTCCTCAGTCTTAAGATGTCAGTGATTCCCTAGTGGAATCAGGAATCTGAACCACACTGTCCACAAATGTCTGACAAAGTAACCCATTCAGACCTCAGGGAGCCCAGCAGTTCTGTGTTTTCCTCCTTCAGTCACTTAACTCTTCTATATATTTAGTTTCCTATAAAATCTTGAGTGGGGTCAGTAAATAAATGAATATTTCTCAGTTTGCATCAAAATTTCATAGCTCTCTTGCTCACCTATATTAACAATGCCATGGTATTTAGAGGACTTAAGATGAAGAAAATACAGGACATTATTCTTTAAACATGAAAGGGTTTTATTTCATCCTTTCGCGCATGACAAGTTATTGAACATGGATGTCATCTTCAATATTTCAGGAAGTGATTATTTCAGGAAGTAATCTTGACCAATGACATCCATTTAGATTATTTCAGGAAGTGATTTGTAAGGCAGAGGTTTCTGACTATAATATCAAGGCAGTTTGCCCAGGAATAGTATTATAGTTGACAGCTAAGCTCTTGAGCTAGGTAACCAAGCTTCTACTATTAAGAATGTGTCAATATCAACTCCAGTGACCGATTGGATCTAGTGAGTTCCACTCCATCAGTGCCAGGTTGTTTATGCTCTGTGGATGGCCTGATACCCATGCACTTATGGGGACACTAAATGAATGGCCTTAGTGGTCATTAAAACTCAGGACAAGGACATGAAGATGGATGTTGGGGAGGGGCAAATGGGAAGTGAATATTGTCATATTTTGTTGTTTACACAAATGAAAATTTTAGAACAAAAAATTTAGTCTCTTTAAAGTGCATATTTTCCTGGAGAAATGTGTAAAGTCCAAAGTAGGTTGCCAGGAACAGTTCTGTGTGCGCAAAAGCCCTGGTGCCAAGGCCAGAAACGTGCCTTGTCCTCATCCTTCCTCCTTTCAAATAGATGGCTTCACTGGTCCAAGCCGCTGCTCAGGGTTTCCGTGGTTTATAACAGTTGCTCAGGGTGCAGCAGAGCTATATGGGTGGTGTGTTATTTTGGCTTCTAAGAGTTGCCAAAAATCATTCTAGAACATTGCATTAGAGGACATTTAAGTTTGAAAAAGTTTATCTACCAGCCATGGGTAATAACTACCTCTACTGAGAATAGAGAGATCATTTGAAGGCTCGATACCCACAAGGACTATCTTCCCAGGAACAGCTCATAGCAAGACACATCGTTTGTTTCTTTGTTGATGTTCTCAGGCCCGCGGTCGAGCCAGAGCCGACGAAAGCACTTATGTCCTGGTCACCAGCAGTGGCTCGGGAGTTACTGAACGTGAGATTGTTAATGATTTCCGAGAGAAGATGATGTATAAAGCTATAAACCGTGTTCAGAATATGAAACCAGAGGAGTATGCACATGAGGTATTGTTCTTGGCCACTGTTGAGTTTAGTTTTCATCTGAAAATGGCTACATTTGGTGGCCACCGATGTCTGTGTGGCTACTTCTCCAGACAGAAATTGTGCTGAGTTATCACCTCCTGTCTGAAGATTTGTGCTTAGTCCAGATTCACAAAAAGCCCCAAGATCGATGGGAGGGCAGGAAATGGGGGAATTTTGTCCATTGCAGGGAAACCAAACATCAACTTTGGTAATATAAATTTAGGCTGCCCTTTTCCAGAAAGACTCGTGAAACTCACTTATTCAAACCTACCTAGTAGTTTCAGTTTGATCCAACCCATATATACAAATACAGTGTCTTTATTACAGAAATGCTTATAAAATGACTATTGTATGCCAGGCAGTATTCTAGAAACAAAGACCATGGTGCCATATAAAACATCTGCTATATGCAGTAGAGATTCTAGTGTGTGCTTGGTGAGGATGGGGGGAGACAAACAATAAACACAAATTTCGCAGTGCATATCATACAGTAGTGAGCACTATGGCCTTAGTATAGGATTGTGTAGCCAGGTTTGATGGCTCATGTCTGTAATCACAGCATTCAGAAGACTGAGGCACAAGGATGACCCCATAGTTCTGAATGATTAAAATGTACGTAATATGTCATATAGCTGAATCCCAATTTACTAACAGTTATTTGAATGGGGCAAAGGCATGCAGTGGGGAAAAAAGAATATATTTATACAATATTTCAGGAAACTTTCATACCACTGAAGTAAAGACTGTAACTCCTATAATAGCAAACAATCCATTTAGAAGAAAATTCACACCCTTGCATATGGGTGTGAATGTTAGTTTCTTAACATTAGAATTGGCTCTCCCCTAAATAGAGTTTTAGGGAGGGGTGCTTTCAAATTGGTGTGCAAAGTATGTAACCAACTCCAAGGTTTCCTGGCCAGGTTTTCATACAAACTTACATTTTAAAACCCCTTAAATATAAAGTAAACCAAACACTTTTTCACTAAATGATCCTGCAATAAAGTTATTCCCTCATATTTATGACTAAAGGCAATGACTTAGTGAGATTCTTATAAAAGCTGATGCTTTAAGACTAAGTTGTTTAGGTGGATTCTAGGATACTCTGTAGTTCACAGGTCAGAGTCTCCCAGACTAAAACATTGTACTAGTTAGCCTTTCATTGCTTTAAGAAATACCTGAGGTACACTGATTTAAAATGTAAAGAGGTTTATGAGTTTGACTCAGAGTTAAATCCATAAGGTCTAAGAACAGGGAGGGTTCTGTAAGCCCTCACCCCCCTGATCTGTTATCACATATGGCAGGAATGTATATGTTTCTCAACTTCTGTGTGCCCTCTCTGTCCTCACAAAGCCACCATAATTTAATTCTGTGGCTTTCACCCCTAACTCCTAATCCAAGATAATCTTTTCTCAAAGGCCCCGTTTCTAAGCACACAACTAGATTAAGTTTCACTTCCCCTAATACTATTATTAACACAAGACCTTGTGGGTCCAATTCACGCATGAATACAGAGGTGCCAGCAGTATTCAAATCATGACAAATGATCCATCCAGGGCCTCCAGAGTGGACTGCCTTTCTCGGTGTCCCTTGAGCAAGAGATCTGCCCTCTCAAGACTTCTCAGATGGATGGAAGAGAAAGAACAGCAATGAAGTGGACTATGTACAGTGTTGGTACACTCGAGACTCCCAGAAAGAATTCCTGCTTACCAGTTACTGAGCGAGCAACTGTCAGCAGTGTGTAGGCAACCACGAATAGAAAGTGAGAGTTGACACAAAAGACAAAGTCTGTTTTGTATGTCATAAAATGTCAGTCTTACTGCAAAGTTAAAATTATATCAAACATCTAGAATGAACCCAAACATCGCGCACCACTTGACCCAACACCTTTCATTCCTTCCTTCCATTGTATTTGGACTTAGGTTGACATAGACTACGGTAGAAGACTGTATACTAGATTCATCTGGTGCTGTTGTCTCTTCCTTTTTATCTTCTAGAGTACAATCTAAGATAGGTGAATTTCAGCTCGTTCGTGTCCATAAAACTGTGAAGAAATATTTAATTCACTATTCTTGTCTCCACACAGATTTTGAAGTTACAGGTACAAAGTATCTTGGAAAAGAAAATGAAAATCAAAAGAAGTATTGCAAAGCATTACAATAACAACCCATCATTAATAACTCTACTCTGCAAAAATTGTAGTATGCTCGTCTGCTCGGGAGAAGACATCCACGTGATTGAGAAGATGCATCATGTCAACATGACACCGGAATTCAAGTGAGTGCAGCCAGACCCAGGTCTAGATTTCTTTAGCAGAGGCGAGGTTCATGCCATTGTAATCATTCTGCTTACACAGTGAGAGTGAGATTTCCTTTCTTTTCACAATTTTCCCTTTTCTAGTCCCTCTCATATAATCTGATCTTTTGAGTCTGTTTTGTAAGTAATCTCCCTTGAGACAGGGAGTCAAGCTAAGACACAAAGCCCTTTTGACACAAGGCACTTAACTTGCAGATGTCCGTATCTGATCTCAGTTATTCTGAATGACTGAAAAGTTAAAATAACAGCAGACCTCAAAGGAGACCCAGGGACAGTGTGACACTTGGGAGGAAGGTGTAGGATGGGGACATCCATCTATTTTGTTACAAAAATCATGGGGAGCAGATGAGGAAGAACAAGATACAAGAAAACCCAGCCATGTTGGGTGATTGTTAAGTCCCACATGATGAACCCGTGACTGTGTACTGTAATTTTGTCAAGTCTCACTGTTGCTCTTTCCTCTGGGACTGTTTTAGAAGACTCTACATTGTAAGAGAAAACAAAGCACTGCAAAAGAAGTTTGCAGATTATCAAACAAATGGAGAGATTATCTGCAAATGTGGCCAGGTGAGCGAACTTTAGTGGGGTTCCATTGTACTTTGGCCAAAAGGAATGTTAAATTGAATGGGCATTTGATTTCTCCTTTCTCTCTTGTTTTCTAGGCTTGGGGAACCATGATGGTGCACAAAGGTTTAGATTTGCCTTGTCTCAAAATAAGGAATTTTGTAGTGGATTTCAAAAATGACTCGTCAAAGAAACAATATAAGAAGTGGGTGGAATTGCCTATCAGATTTCCTGCTCTTGATTGCTCAGAATATTGCATGTATAGTGATGAAGACTAGCTCTTGATTCATGATTAGTTTACAAGGTTGCCAACTCGAACTTTAGTATGATTTTGATTGATGTTGTCATTACACCACTGAGCTAATACAAGAATATATAAATGATCATTTTTGTTTGGTTTTAACTTGTGTAAAGAAAGAACACAATGCATACCCCTTACTGGTTATAAATGTAATTGTTAATCTAAATTGTCAGTTTGATGAGCTCTGGCATCACCTGGGAGATGGGCTTCTGGGGTTGCCTTTAAGGGATTGTTTTAACTTGATTAAGGTAGGAAGAACTGACCACTGCGAATGGTCCCATTCTCCGGGCTTGTGTCCTGGACTGTATAAAACTGAGAAAACTAACTGAACCTGCATTTTCACTCATAATTCTGCTTCTTGACTGTGGAATGCAATATGACAAGCTACCCCCAAGCTCCTGCTGCTGCTGTGACATCCCCACAGGAATGGATTATGACCTTAAACTGGGCGCTACAAGAAATCCTTCCTGCCCACATTGCATTGGTCAGGGCATGTTATCACAACAATGGAAAAAAAGTAACTAAGACAATAGGGATGAAGAAAATCTGCCAATAATACTCATTAGTGTAGAGTGTTACCGTTTTGTAGAAAATACCGGAGTATGAGTGAGAAGAATCCCAGATACCAATCTCAGCCAGTTCTGTCACGGATCAATGTGGAATATGATTTTATCTGGGCAAAGATGTATTACATTCGTTTATTCTGTGGAATATTATTTTAACTGTGTAAAGATGTGTCACTTTTGTTTATGCTGCATTTGTTTAATTATGTAAAGATGTGTCACATTTTGTGTTTTGTGATTTTAAATATACCCATTTATTAAAACAGCTGTTGTGTAGGTCAAATGTCTAGCTAGAGTTTCCACACAAGACTGTAATCAAGGTTTCAGCCAGACTCTTCTCTTCCACAGCAAGAAAGAATCCACTCCCGTGCTCACTCAGAATTTGCTTCCTTTTAGCTGTCTGGCTAGGGTTTCTGCTTTCTTGCTACATTTCCACTAGGAATTGCTCTCACATCCCAGGAATGCTTTATTCTGTGGCCTCTTCAGGAGCCCACCCTCTCTATATCTCATGTGATTTTTTTTCAAGGCCAGCAGGAGAAACTCTCAAAGCTGCTAAGGAATCTCATGTTACTTAACTAGAGTAACAGAAACACAATAGAGTATGTTTTGAATTGGGCATCTTATTGATAGGCAGGTGTGCTAGGTAATCTCACATGTCAACTTGGTAACATCTACAGTCATTTGGGATAAGGGCCTCTGGGCACATCTATCTATTCTGTTTGGCCAATAGGCTCCTATTCAAAGCAAGGAGATGATTCAGGGTATCGTGATGAACTGACATGATTTTGGAAGGACTCTTAGGGGTCATTTTAGAATTTTGCCATCATTCCGTGTATTCAGATCTTGCTAATATAATGCACATCTGTTGGCAAGCACTTTGACAAGCAGGAAGTACCATGAAGAAAACAGTCTTACCAAATGCAGCATCAAGCGATGTCGGGCTTGCTGCTTCCTCAGCCTTCCCTTCTGCAACACGATGCCATACTGGAATGTGACCTCATTACAAAGTGTTGGCTAAACGAAGAGCAGTTCTAATGCATGTAAGATTACCAGTGTCCATGGACAGAGCAGCTGGTCAGTCTGTCCAGCCTTTACATGGGATCTAGCAGGGAACTGAGGTTCAAGGTTTGGTAGGGAATGAAGAGCAACAGTTCCCCATGTTCTGGCTGAAGAGTAACAGCCCTGGATGGTGATGCAATAAATATGTCAATAGGAGATGGAAACAGGGCCACTTGTCTTCACACAGGGCCCATAACGAGCAGAAATGGCGCCTCTCCATTGTCATAGGAGAGCTGTGATTGGAGACCATAACTTGAACCAGCCATTGAACTGACACCAAGTCTCAGGGATGGCTTGCTCCACAGAAACAATTACCTCTTATGAAGAAGGGAGTGAAGACAGAATTCTTTGGTGGTTTTGATCTACTAGTTTAATTGCATATTAAGATATTTTCAATCTTTTATTGATAAGACCTGAGTCAAGATGAATGTACTAATCAAAGCTCTTGGGAATATAAACACACAAAAGAAGAGTTAGTTTTCTTTAAATGCCTTAAAAATTCCATCTGACTAAAGTATTTATTTATTCTAAAATGTTTTGGAAACTGTGCAAGAAACCAAATATCTAAGATATCTTAATGGATCACAGTAACACATGTGGTCTGCTTTTGAGGTATCAACAAATATTCTTGTCAATGTTTTAGCCTTTTTTTTCAATAAAAAGAGATGTTTCTTCTTTAAAGTTAAGGGCATATATTTCAGATACTATATAATTTAATATGTGATGATACCTGGCAACTTGAACTATAGAAAACATACTTTATTTTTAAAACCACTATAATTAGTGTTGTATCTTGATTAATTATTACTAAATAGTGTAGAATCCTTAACATTGATTACCAGAATGTACCTGTGAGGCGAAGCCATTAATCCCGGCTTGATAATGCCTTAGTTTTTGTTCTTCAGTTGTTTGAATGCCCTTCTGGATTCTTAAGTGATTGGATTAAAGTTCCCTAACTACCCTAACATTTCCATGGTTTGTGCTTATGGCTCCCTGTCCGTTCTAAAACATAGCCCATGAATATGAAATGATTTCTCCAAAGCTTTTAGTACATGTCACAAGTAGGTGTTCAAAGTGAAGTGTGCTCTGAAAGAAGTAGACATTTTCATCTCTGCAATACAATAGCGGCGGCAACCGAAAGTACTGCCTCAGAGAAAACAAGTCGGCCCAGAAGGCATTGTTTACCACTCAACTGGCAAAACCGAGGAAGAGTTTGAGTTCCCCTTGTTATTACAGCTTTGAAGATGTGGGAGTCTCAAAAACATTTCAGAGAAGTTAGAGGAGAGTTACAAAGAGAAAGATGAATATTTACACTGCCCAAGTTAAGCCACCCACTGGGTACCTTTGACATCTTGTGCCTTACCTAAAGCTTCTGCCACATCACTCTGCTCCTTACTCAGAGATGAAGTCATTCTTTGCCACTTCTTCAGCAGATGTCTCTTAGGATCCTTCAAAAACAAAATCCAGATGTCACTTCCCAGAATTCAGCTGCATTTACATTTCCAGGACAGAAATGGGAAGAGCTTGCAAGAAAAGTATTGCTCACTCAACCCTTAGCACAAAATACTCATGAAACTGGTAAACAACTGTGTGAGTCAGAGCATTAAGCGCAAAACAAGACAAACTTGAGACTGTTCCAAGAATTCTAAGAATTATGATGCTAATTAGAAACTTATTTTTTTGCCATATTTAGTCTTGCTAGATATTATTTGTTTTTGTACATAGAGTGTGGAATAAGATAAACTCAGATGTGACTCTTTACTAGTTTGGGGACTTTGAGAGTAAGCCACTAATCTCCTTAAGGTCAAAAGGAATAATAAAGACCTTGAAGAGTTATCCTGGAAACATAGGCACTGAAATGAACAACGCCAGCAGTTAGCATGTACAAGAAATAACCACAGAGCACAGTGGGCATTGCTGAAAGAGCTGAAGCTTCTGTAGTCATCAAAGATATAGGAAGAACAGAGTAATATAGCGTTTTAGATCTGCATTTCATCTTTAAGTAAAATGCGTGCAAAATTGAAGCCTCTCCTATCTAGACTTGTCAAAGAGGGGCCATCCCAAGAAGTAGTCATAATACACATGATAGTTGTTAATATGCCCTCAGGTTGGCTACAGGAAGGATTTAGCTTCTACAGGCAAAACACAAAGATCAATGTAAATATATCATTTTATTCATTCAATAGCTTCCAGATTTAACTAGATCTATCTCAGTATGATTTTAATTATGTTCGGTCTTTACCTAAAGAATTGATAGTAATGCCGTCTCAATGATTAAGTTAGGAACTACGTGAGAATAAAAAGCTAGGGTACAATTAGTAATTTTTTGTATAGTGCAATTTATAGTTGCTGTTTGTTTCTAAGTCCTAAAACTTTTTCTCAGATTCTAAGATGCAAAATATGAAATATGGATCCTTCTCCAGGGTTTAGCCTGGTGAGTCTGACTGGTCCTCCCCCATCCCTCACATCTGTTCCAACCCCCGCAGTACCAAACTCCAAGCCTGGACCAGGAATCCAACACCAAATGGCCAGTCCTGAAGATACACATACAAGTAAAATTATACAGATTGAACAGCTTGAATTTATATATTTAGGAATACACATAGACATAACAACAATTTAAGAAAAAAGGGCCATAAATTTGAAAAAGAATGATGATGACATGGAAGGGGTTGGAGAAGGGAGGGGGAGATATAATGATATCATAATCTCAGAATAAAATATTATTAAAAATATGAATGGCTGGGCAGTGGTGGCGCATGCCTTTAATCCCAGCACTCGGAAGGCAGAGGCAAACAGATCTCTGTGGGTTCAGGGCCAGCCTGGTCTACAAGAGCTAGGTCCAGGACATGCTCCAGAGAAACCAGGTCTCAAAAACTATATGTGTGTATATATTTCATAAATATATATATGTGTGTGTATATGAAATGTTGGAAATGAAATATGGAAATGTTGTAGATATTCCTTACAATATTTAGAGAAATTTCGCAGCATAATACCAAGTCTTTCTTTGCATGAACGTAATTCCATGAGCACATCATTTGAAGATGAAATGTAGATGGGGGTTAGCTCTATTTATTACTTTATACATTTCAAATACAGTTAAAGCCAAGATCCTGAGTAGGACCAGGGGAAGAAGACTGATAATAGAAAGTAATATTTAACTATGCATCTAATAATATACTGGGGTATAATGTTACTTGAACGTAATTTTTCGTATCTTAGTTATCTTATACAAATGTTAAAAATGGAATTTCTTTGATAAGAATTCAAGTGATTCATTTGGTTACAAAAATATAAAAATACTTAACCAAAGATGACCACTCTGTCAACATAAATGACACCTTTACCACCAGTCTTCTGCTGTCCTTTGTGAACTTGCACTAGGTTTCTGGATGCCTAGTTCTTTCATTTTGAACAATTAAGCAAACCATGAATATTATATCATATTCCTCAAACTCTGAGAATTTTTATAATACAAAAATGACTCCAATATTTGATTTAGAGTTATCTTAAACTATTTTCTCACATGAGACCAATGTCAATCTAGTATTACACTAAGGTAAGGTTTATAAGACAAAATTACTGTTTTCCTTAGAATTTGACCCTGGTTTAAATTTGTAAGTTTTTCCTTTGATAATATGTGGTAAATTTGTGCTGAATTTAAAATTAAAACTTAACTTTTTTAAAAAGAATATATCTCACTTGGTAAGTGAATCCTAAATCTCTCTCTAAAATGTTAGTATTCTATGTTAAATTGTACCAGGTGGATTTATACACACACACACACACACACACACACACACACACACACACACACATTGAATGTCACTACTTCATGGGGGAAAATTCACATTGTAGCCTGTAAGCTTTGTAATAAATATCTTCAGTGTTTCATTTTTATAATTTGCTTAAGATAAAATGTAAAATTGGAATAATCAAAATGAGTACTTTAAAATGTTTTACTCTGAGGAAAGGGTTGATTATGTTTCATACCTAAGATAAAAAACAATAAGTAAACTAAGACAAGAATGAACATAAACAAAATAAGATATTAGCAAAAAGATAAAAAATATATACACATTAAGACAAGTTTCAAAGAAGTGAGACAGAAAAGGAGACAAATTTAGCTGAAGAAGATATACCTAAAGAATACTTCTTCCTGTATCTAGTCAGCAAACAGACTTAATGAATTAGATACTGCAG